GCTTTTTGGTCATGAAATCCTCAACTGCCGGTTACTGCATTCTTACACATAAAAATAATAACAACAATTCAAAATCTGCAATACTGTACTGTGCTGTTTTTTATATTACGAATATTTTATGGAAACAGCACAATGTTTGGCAGAAGCTATTGATCCTTACAGTATAAGGAAGACAACTGATACTTTATTTGATGTGATGTTTTTCAAATGAACATTTTAAACGTCACACTCATTCTTGTACTGGATATGACTTCATGGTACATAAAGTAAACTCCCATCATCCATTATTCATTCGTGGTCCATAAAATGCCTCATATGGTATGTTTTTGGTTGAATGGAACACTCATTTCATACTGGCAATGTGGTTTCTTTAACAATGCACCAAATTTTATTGTAAAAAAATAAAACTAAACTATGTTATCATGATATACATGTTTGATGCATACAATGCATTTACTCCATCAGCTCATTTATTTGTTCAAATAAAACAAAAATCCAAGGCATTTAAAAAATGCATTCCTTTAAATAAATGCTATAAATTAATATGCAGCACAACACTCGCCCAAAGAAACCAAAATTGTTCATTGCGGAGTTCTACAGTACTTCCAAGGAACTTCCTTCCACGGATCCGCCACAAACCTGAAGACATGCAAGACATGTTCGGTGTGTACAATTGTAATAAAACGTGGCCATCCAAAGCCCTCAAAAACAGAACAAAGTTTTCCCTTCCCTGAACATCATTGATGCCAACAATACAGTGTTCGCAACGCATGTTTTCCTTTGTCTTTAATCCAAGAAATTAAGCAAGATTTTATAAGTTCTTCGATTCATGTTCACTACTGATGAGCACCCTGGCTTAGATTTTGGATTGACGTTAACTGTGCATGTCTGCTTGACGTTCCGCGGCTAGCAGAGATATACAGTACGTACCGTACAACACTGTCCTGATCCATGCAGTGGTCAGCGGGTTTCTTTTTTCCCGCTCCGGGGGTTTCCCCTCCTCCATTGTCACATAGCCTCCCTTCCAGCTCGTTTTGTAACCGGATTTCCTAAGAAAACGAGTTGTTCTGCAATCCCGCTTTTCGGTTGAGAAATTGAGTATAATTTGGTTTATGGCTGAAATGGAATGAAACTAAAGTACTAAATTGTACTTCAGCTGTGAAGTACTGTTCATTGTGACCTTTATACCCGCAGTAAATAAATTTCTGCAAGTGCAAGCTTTTGAAGTAGGTTAAAATATGCGAAAAGTTATCTCATTAAACTTGGACAAAAAAGTTTTTAAACCCCGGGAAAAACTCTGCCGAAATAGCTGAAAGAAATCAAATACAATTTCCGTTTTCTCTTGACGGGGAAGGGAATATGTCCGAAATAAAATGCTCATAAGCCGAATTCAGCGGTATCTTTTAAAATAAAACACATGGCGCATAACAAGGATAATAGAGAACCTGGACAAAATTGCTCAATGCGAAAAATAACTGTAAAAATTATTGTTCACACCTTCGGTCAGGGGAAATTTTAAATTTGCATTACATGTCCAAATTATATGTGGAAGCATCTGCTATTATCAACTGTGCTTGTCATCTCATCAAATTCGAATGGAAATTTCATTTTCCGATGGGTCTTTCCTTGATGCACGGCAGTTCTTCAGTTGAAAAGAAGGAATCAATGATTTTCCATCAACTCACAGAGAAGTTTGTCATGAATTGATGCATTTGGACCTTGCTGTCTCAAACCCTTCTAAATTGAAAACCTCTCTTTTATCAAATTTTTTTTATTCCCTGTATGTGTGGATCCTAAATTATATTGTCATAATAATAATTCAGGCCATCCTAGCTGAACATTTTTACCTCTAAAACCTTCGTAACTCGACTTCCAAAAAAGGCTGCTTTGGGATATTATTCTGGCACGCACCGCGAAGACGATTGATTAAAATGGAGTTTGATGTCCTTCAAAAAGAAGTGAATGACTAATTGGTCAAATCAACCCTCTTTCCAAGTTTAGCATGCTGTCAATTCGTTTTTCAGCAGTATGAGGTTCAGTAGAAGATACGCAATTTTAACTTTCTTGTTGTTCTGTAAATCTTTGTTTATCACGAGGAACGGCGATAAAAATCGACAGAGAATGAGAGGAAAAATCGATTTTTTTTCTGAATTCTGTAAGCAGTGTATATAGTATACTGTATTTCAAGAACATTCAATGCCCGCCATTTTTATTACAAGATATTTTGTTTCATGGCTCGTTTCGCGTGATCCACAAACCGATCAATCACCTTTTTACCGTTACTGCCATTTAATACATTCTCCACCAGCCTCGGAAAATCCTCTGCAAACCCTCCCTGGCCATAATCTTCGCCGAAATCTTCCCGACTGATCATAAGCACCGCTAATCCGAATAGAGACATGTTGAATCCCATTTCTTCCACTGCTTCAAACTCTTCTAAAAGCTCAGACAGAGTCAACGTTTGTCCCATTTGTGATCCGAGTAACTTCAGCCACTTGACAAATTCTTCGTAGTAAAACTCGAAAACGGCGTCAAAATTGTTGAACACTTCGCGGCATGTACTTGTGTACCAAAAATATGCCAAATCCATCATCGGTCTTGCAAATCGGGTGATCTGGAAATCAAGCAAGCAGGCTTCTCTCGGTACCTTCACTCCGTCGATTTCCTCGTATCTTCGATGATTTATAGTACAGAGCAAACATTAAAAACCAATGGCCACGAAAGAAGAATGTGAAATTCAAAGTTACCTGATCATCATGTTGTTGACCCAACAATCTCCGAGAACGAAACACGAAAATTTCGTCGGTTTCATTAGGCTTACGATGCGTTCTCTCATGTCTGTTTTCATGTATTCCTCGACACGGCGAATGAGTTCGTCATTTTCCTCCGTTGTGCCGCCCAGATGTGCCTTTAGGGCATTCAACAATCGCTGGCCACTGGCTCTGTCGCAGAATAATGCCAAAACGGAAGGACTGGTCAGCATGTCGTAGGTGCCCAGTGTGCCAAACTGCTCCTTGAAGTCTTCCAGAGACAAATCACTTCGTTCTCGCAGTGCGAACGAATGGGCGTGGAAGCTGCATGAAAATGAATTGACCTTTATTTATTTATGTATTTTTATGTTGCAGAAAAAAAAAATAATAATAAAAAAGGCTCGAGCATCCAATATATATAGGAGCAAAAGGAGGCACTGCATAATCTTTTTTAGAAAAAATCTTGTCATAGAAAATTATTGATTCACACATTATAACTACCCATTTCGGGCTCAGGTGTTTTTCTGTCCCCCAAAAATGGGGAAATGTAGAATTGAAAATATGCAAAATCTCCACAAAGAAGTTAGCTACAGAACAAGACCTTGTTTGACCATATCCCTTCATTTTTATTTGTACATGAAGAGGTTTTCTATAGCGAACTCCCAGGTTTTGTGACAAAAGGTAAATACAATTTCAGAAATTCAAGACAGATACTTTCCACTGCAGCAAATTTAAAATCTTTAACATTTCCCTGTAGTCTGATCAGTTCTGAATGCATTGCCATTTTTTGTATTAAATATTTATATATAAATTTTCAAGGGAAACTCAAGGGAACTTACACACAGGCAATATCTCGACATTTTGATACTTTTCCAAAATCTGGGAAAAGTTTTGGATTTTATTTTCCTACATTTTTCTATATCTTGAAGAAACTGAGCAATTTACATTCACAAATACTAAACATAAAATTCACTATAAAATAACCGTACATCATGATCAAAAACAGGCTAATTTTTTGTGCAATTTTTTCGACCATGTGTGCTTAGTATTGCAAAACCAACTGTTATTGTTCTTTGCTTCTTAATTGAGCTCCCTCTGATGCCAGAATATCAGATTCTGCGTGTTTTTCTTCTGTACATTTATTTTCTGTATCTGGTAGTTGGAAAATTTAATCTATTTGATTTTTGGGGAGACTTTATCTGAATAATGGATTTATACAGGAGAACCCATTATAGAAATATTCTTGTTGAAGCCTACGGGAAAATGAGGTCCAACATGCAGATGTTCTGACATATAGGGACAATACGGCCCAAGCACGGCCATACCATCCTCATCATTCTGAATTCAGTTCCACTTTTATTTCGAATTTTCAACTGCATATACAGTATTCACATTTTCCAAGTATAGTTACCTGGCAAAGGCTTCGAGAACACATTTGGTTTCCTCCAAATCGAATCCCGTTCTCCTGTTTCCCAGTGCAAAGTCCCGGGCGACCAGATCTTCCATCAAGATTATTTGCGTTTCTTCTTTGCCACTCGCAAAATAAACTTTAGGACTCGGAACGTTTTTCGCCACGCTATTCTTGTAAATTTCCGGCAACAGCTGGTTGTAGACGATCGCTTCTCTTTCGAAAATGTCGTGCGAATCCAGGAATGCTCGATGAGACTCGACCGTTGGCGGCAATTTGGCAAAGGCGTGGAGCACTTTTTCTCCACCGGTTCCGTCATCTGTCTCTGTTTTATAATGGATTCTTATGCGGAAAGTCGAGCTGCCGTAATTTTCGCCAATTTCCAGCCCGGGCTTGATTTCGACTGAAACCACGGTCGCGGTTTTGTCCACTGTTGCCTTGAGGATGCCCTCGAACCAATCGTCTGTCATGTTTTCGATAATCATCGTTCCTATATGAACGAAAGTTACCTGCCTTCCTTGAATAAAGGACAAGAAATTGTTAGTTTGAAGGCAATAGTATACTGTACATGCAGGATTATTCAAAATCTAATTTAAACGATCCGAAATTGGAGTTCAATTATTTCGCGATGATATCCTGAATAATAATGAGATACGCGCAAGTGCGGTTCTTTACAGTTTTCACACAGCATTTATATATATCTCCTGACGAAATACTAGGAGAGAAAAACGAGATTTCCTTGAAACAATGCCTACTTAATTATTTTAATAGGCACTATCCAAATTGATGCATAATCATTGAAAATTTAGAAAACCCTGTACACAGAAAAATATGTAATTCCCTGTATAGAAGATACATTCCTCTTTCATTTCTCTCTCGCATCGCCTCAGACAAAAACGACAAGAATTCATTCGCAGTTTTGTAATACTGTATTATCAGCTACTGCTGTATATCCAACTCTTGCGCTCACTCACAAAATTAGCTCTATAAATGTGATCAATTGACAGCGTGCAAGGAAAAAATCCTAGCATCATCGCAAAAATGTCTAAAAGTGGGAAATTAAGAAGGTATTTTGCCCTTCAATCGGGGTAAATCACGTAAATGCCTTGGCCAAGCTTCTGGCAGAATATTTCTAAAAAGGGTTCTTTGGACACAATTTTCCTGCACACATCATAATCAAGGGTGTAACACTGTACATCATCAGGTAAATATACGAATGTTTACGTCAGTTAGAGAGGAGACTATGTATAAATATATACAGCAGTACCCAAACAATCCCTCGTCTGAAAATGATGCGCATTTATCCAGACGTGAAGTGAAATCCTTCAAAATTAGTGAAGTACAATACTGTACATAATACAGTTTAATAAAGTATTGTTGTGAAATGAAATACTTAGGAAAGGGCATATACTCGTATAGTCTTGTTCGGGGGTGAAAAGTGGAGGAAAATAAAGATCTGAATGCATGAAACAATATATGCTACCGAGAAATCGGTTTGGATATGGGATTATTCTGCCACCAATAATTGAAATTTTTTTTTTGAAAATGCACGAAAATCATTCGAGACGCGCAAACGCACCTGTCAATAAATAAAGAAAATCAAGCCAATTATTCCACATCAACTGCAGCAGTCTATCTATCTTTCACGTTTCAAGCAGAACATTTATTAAAGCCACCCGCACACGGCGGGTTTCACAGCATGCGCGCAGGGTTTCGCTGCCCTGGATCAACTGCTGCTGGAGGGTGGGTGGATTGTTTCATTCTCTTTTGGATCAACTCAAATGATATGTTTATTATACGCTCGCGAATTTGAAAAGAAACGCGTCAGCATCAGTGCGTGTCGCATTATGCGCCCACAAAGGAACAACAAAATAATAACGTCATCGCTATCGTCGATGTCGATACAGCATTTGTTTCAGCCAGCGTATACGTCGGGTCTTTGCGTACCCACGGCCAGATTTTCTTCATGATTAAGGCATGATAGTGGATTGTGCGGGAACCGCACTACACTATCATATGCAAGTTGTTTTTGTATGCCGTTCAGTTTTTTGTGTGTGGGACCGAACAAAAAACTTTTCGTTTCCCTAAAAAAAAAACCTGTGAGAGCGCGGCGAGGGATCACTGTTGGGTGCATGCTCACAAAGGTTTTTTTTTTTCAAGAATGGGGAAACAATTCTGAATGAGAATGTGCTGTTGAATTCAAGTTGTTGAGGTTTTCATGCATTGTTGAGGAAGGGTTGTGTTAAAGTTTTTCTTGGTGAAAGTTGGGATTCTTTGCTGCTTTCTGATAGGCCATTTGCATAAAAATTGAAGACAATGTGCAGCAATGTTGGGTAAGTTTTGAAGGTTCTTGGGGGTGAGTTCTCTAGTGCCAGTTATTTGGCGCTGGGCTTTCTGTAGACCCCAACACTAGTTTCAGAGATGGAGGGCATTTTATTAATATTATTATTTACAAATGCATGACTCAGTCCCCAACTGCACTGGCAATACCAACACACACAGGCAGCTGAGGGTTTCTGTTTGACAAAATTGCTGCAGGCTCCATTAACACCACCTGCCATACAACCTGAAATCCAACTGGCTATGCTTGAAAGGGTACTTTCCTGTTATCTCAGTACTTACTTTCCTGTTATCTCAGTACTTACTTTCCTGTTATCTCAGTACGTACTTTCCTGTTATCTCAGTACATACTTTCCTGTTTTCTCTGTTCCTTCCCTCTGACCAATTTAACCTGACCTAACCTAACTTCACCTAACCACCTCCCAAAATCCGTTTCTGCTTTCTTTGGGTTTCTGCTGAAACTGATTTTGGGCGGCAGGTAAATAAACTTAGGTTAGGTCAGGTTATGTTAATTAGAAGATATTTGTAACTAACATAACCTGACCTAAACTAACTTTACCTAACTGCCTCCCAAAATCAGTTTCAGCAGAATGCGGAAAAATAAAATTCACAGTTTCTGGTAGGTTGTTGTGATTATGAACTTGTCCTCAAGATTTGTCTGGATGGTAGTGCGTCTAGGAATGAGGCACTGAGATAACAGGAAAGTACCCTTCAAAGAACATGGTCCCCATTGCTCAATTTAAGGGCAAAAGCATCCCCAAGGACACAAATTTTACTCCCCATCGATCAACCAGGTTGCTGTGCACTTCAGTTCCTCTGTTTCCAAAGGTCTCCTTTATTTTGTTCAAGATGTGTGAAGGAGACCTGCAGACTTCCAAAACATTCAAAACCAGCTGTGGCTTCTGCAATAGCACTGGCAATACCAACACACACAAACTGCTGAAGGTTTCTGTTTGACAAAGTTGCTACCAGGGCTCCAGCAACACCACTTTCCATACAACCTGAAATCCCACTGGCTATGCTTGAAAGAACTTGGTCCATATTGCTTAATTTAAGGGCAACATCACCCATATAAGGACATTAAGTGTGCTCCCCATCAGTCAACACCGCCTGAAACCCAACTGGCCAAGGCCAAAATGATTTGCGGAAAGTGTTCTATGAGTCATTGCCTTAAGAAATAAGTTTGCTAATGGTTTGCTATAGTTTGCTATAATGTTCTGTATACAAATGTAAGGGGCTTAATTAATGCATTTTGATGTCATCAGGGACATGCTATTTAATACTTCATGCAACAATGCTACAATTTTGCTTTGAATAAGGAGTGATAAGATTTATTTTGCTGCAATAATTTTTAGACTTTTTCATATGGTTAGAACAGGAGATAAAGCGACTTTGTGACAGGTGTTACTATAATTGGATTCAAGGTCAATAAATTGGAAGAAGGATGTGGTTTTTTTCAGAAGGGCGTTATATTTTTCTTTAGGTTGCGGATTTTTTGCTGGTTTCATTATTTCT